TTAAGGACGCCTGAGATTACTAGGATAAAGCCCTGACCCTTTAAAACATGGTAAGTATCACTTACTTACAGGAAAGGTTTCTTTTCTAGTTCTTTCATATACTAAGAAGTATATGAAGTTTTACCGATGCCCTGTGATAGGAGAAGTGTATCATATTTTTATGTATAATGGAACAAATTGTGTATGCTTTGGGAGGTTTGTTGTTGGGGTTTTTTTCCCCTGGTTTTTTTTTTTTTTTTTTTTTTTGTGTGTGTGTGTGTGATGTCACTTCCTCCTAAAATTTATGCTAATAATTTTAAGTGTTTCTAACTTACTAGAGCTCAAGTTTAATCTATACTTTCATATTACTGCCCTGAGCTAAAAGCTACAATAGTTCCTTGAAGCCCACTGAATATGTAAAATGAGCTACCCTATATGAATTGAAACACCGAGTAAAGATAAAGTGCCCCAGATGGCCTTTCAGTGATCATAAAGCTAATTTGTGTTCCGATGTGTTTTTCCAAATATGAAAACTTTTAAAACAGAGAATACAGATTTTCTGCGACATTAAATTTCCCGCTGGAATTGAATTTAAGTTTTAAAAATAACTTACCTAAAAATACTAAAGTGTCTGTCTCATGAAGAGATTTAGTGTATTCTAGTTAGAAAAATCCAACTGGGCAGTCATTACATTGCAAAAATGTTTGGGTTAAGAAGAGATAGATCTGAAAGTATTAATAGATGCCTGAAGAAGGAATACTTTTTCCATAAAGTGTTTGTATGAATATTCACAGATTATGTTGTTTGCCTCGGAAATGCAGGTTATTCTCTGACTGTCCTTTGTTGTGCTATGGAATTTTCATGTCAAAAATCTTCCATTTTTGCAAATGTGGAATATACATTGCACTGTTGAATTTGAAAAGGGAATGTATCTTACTCAAGTTCATTTTTCAACTTTGAGAATCTTTTCTGATATTTTTTGCATTAATAATTTCATTTTCATTATCAAATGAAAATGTCCTTTCTTACAACAATCTTCAGATTCTTTCTTGAGTGGCCCTCAAATTACTGTCTGATTTTCTAACTATTTTAATCAAATGGACTCCAGAAGAAGGATCACGGTGGTCTGAACGCTGGTGACACGTATGAGTCCTTCTGCTTGTTCTGCACAGGCCTCTCCACACCCCTCTAACCTGCTCTCTTTGCTGAGAACTGTGAGGGATGCCAGTCTGTGGATTGCAAAGTATTTGCACAAAAGTATCTATTTTGGTCCTTACAAAAAAAGCCCTCTTTTTGCCAACAGGGACTTGAGGCTCAGAGATACGAAATGAGGTCAGAGGACTAAGACCTCTAGCCAGATTTTCCAACAACAAACTCTATGCTTTTCCTCACATTCCCTGTTTCCCAGAACTGACTGTCTGACCCAGATAGGCCTACCTGGTCATTAGGAAACCCATGCTGGAAAGACACTAGCCCAGTGTCCCTCGCTGTGTGGCAGGTGCAGGGGGACACCACTAGTGGAGAGGGCTGGTCTCCTTCGTGTCCCTCCTCCTCCCATGAGAACCCCCAGCTCCATGCTGCAGGGTCAAAGGTGGGGAAAAGCAGAATGTCCTTAGAATTAAAGTAGGTGGTCTTTGGTTTCTTTCTCCCCATCGTATTCATCCTTTCTTTCTTCTGATTCCCTTTAGTAGTGACAACAGTAATTACTATGATCACCACCATTTACTGAGTACCTAATATGTGTGTATTTGCCCAATTTTGCTAATTGATATGCAGTAGTCCCCCCTTACCAGCAGTTTCATTTTCCATGGTTTCAGTTATCCTAGGTGGCCTAAAACTATTAAATGGAAAATTCCATAAATAAACAATCCATAAATTTTAAATCTCATGTCATTTTGAGTATGAGCATCATGATAAAATCTAATGGACCTGCTGGTCATTGCTGAGTCCAAGTCCCTTGTTTCCTCTGCTACTTGTACTGAATCAGCTCACCATGTTTTTCTTATATAATACCTCTGCTTTGCTTATTTCTTTCCTTGAACAGATTGAGTTAGTTTACATCTCTGTCCTCACACATGAATTGTAAGATCTGTTTATATGCTTGCTTACAGCAGTGTTTGTAAGAACTTGATAAATATTTAAATGGTTTAATCTACTTGCTACACACTTAAGTGTTCTTGGAGTAGTATTTATAATAAGCAGAATTATCCAAAAATGTGATGGATATTCGAAGTGCTTTATTTTCTTTTTTAAATTCAGTGTAGACTTAACTCTTTTTTTGTTAATAATTTCAAGCACCCAAATCAGACATTCTCAGATAACAATTTTTTTGTCTTTATGTTCTGGTAATAGAGTAGGGGTTTATTGGCACTATTTCTAACTTCAGTATGTGACATTAAAGCAAAGGGAATGGACTATGTTTCAACCTTTCTTCTGCTTGTCTCTGATTCTGTGTCTCTCAATCCATATGCCTCCTTTGGTCCTCAGATTGATGACAATTTTATTTTAACCTGTGACTATACGTGACTTTAAGCATAGTTCTCTTTGTGAAGAATAATTGAGCTGTAATGTGGTCCATCTTTTTGATGAAAACTATCCTACATTTTGGAATCACAGTTTTTTGTTTTGTTTTGTTTTGTTTTTTTGTATTTTCAAATGTAGGAAGCTAAAGCAGAAACTAAAAACAGTTATGTGCAAGAATAATTTCTTGGAATATTACATTCTTAATTTGATTGAAGCTGAAGTAATCAGGTTGATTGCATTAAACCAGAACTAATAGTTCCGAACCAGTTTGGCTAATATGTTAGAAGTAATTTGAGAGTAATATAGCACTAGCCAGGCTATGGTACAGTCATTTCAATTCTTGTTCTAATTGGCTAACCCAGGCATGCATGGTGTATGAATAATTTAGTTTCTGTCTCATGGCACCATTCAGTTGTATTAATAAGTATTTTTACCAGCAGAGTTAGACATAGGGTTTATCAATGTAAATTTCACTTATGATGCCCAAACACTAGTTTTAATTTCCTTCTGTGAGTGCTGGCCCCATCTTCTGTTCTGTCTTTAGATTAGGTATATTTAGACACATTTGTTGTTGTTGTTAGCACAAAGTTCTGTTGTAAAACAATAGCCGCTAATACTTACTGAGCGCTATAGTACTTCCTAAGATTGGTATATTATACCACTCAGATGGGGACACTAAAGCTTAGAAAGGTTGAGAAAGTTGCTGCAGTTTATGCAGCCAGCAAGGGCAGAAGAACTTTCAAATTCTGGTCTGTCTGAATTCAAAACCTGGGGTTGCAGTGACAGTGTTATTTTGCCTCCAGATGCAGGTTGGAGTGTAGCTTCTGCTTTCTATCATATTGCCTACTGTCTGGAACTTTGGTTTCAGGAGTTCTGTACTTACTTGTACTAAGCACCAATATTAAGATTTTCTATGTGGTGAGAATTTCTATAACCACATTGTTCCATAAATAGTAGGAGAGGCCCAACTATTTAGCTCAACTTTGTTGAATTCTGTCTCTATGCACCCATACCAAAGAGCACTTTAGCTACAGGACAGAATTTATTCAGAAAAAGTATCAGCAATACAGCAACCTAAGATTATATTACCAAGAAAAACATTTTAGTAGGAAAGGTGGCAGGCCTGTGTAAACTCTGGAGTAACTTCCTGTGGCGATGTGAATGTTTATGGCAGCACCAGAGGGGAGAAAAGCTGTTGCAGGTTGTCGTGGGGGGGGGGCAAAATACCAGAAGGCAGGTTAAGTTGTTTCTGATTATAGTATATATGGCAGTCAGAATTTTGGTTCCCATGTTCTTTGGCTCTTTTTTTACTCCTATGAATATGCTACGCTCCATGGCAAAAAAGGATTGTGCAAATGTAATTAAGGTTATTAATCAGCTGACCTGAAAATAGGGAGATTAGTCTGGTTTATCCAAGTAGGCTTATTTTAAGTCATCTGAGCCTTTTAAAGCAAACATTTTTCTCCTGCTGGTAAGTAGGGGGGAAGCCAGAAATTCCAATCATGAAAAGGTTGTGATGGGCCCTTGCTGACTGGGAGATGAAGAGGGCCACAGTTAAGGAAAGAGGAACCTCACTTCCACAACTCCCGGGAGCAGGATTCTGCCAACAACATGAATAAGCTTGGAGACAGAATCTTTCCCAGGGCTTCCAGAGAAGAACTTAGTCCAAACAACATCATGATCTCAGCTTGTGTGGTCTCGGGCAGAGGCTCTACCGAGCCACATGGTGCCTGGACTTCTGACTCATGAAACTGGGAGACAGTAACTGGGTCTTGTTTTATTTAAGTCATTAAGTAATTACCATTTATGGTAATTTGTTATGGCAGAAATAGAAAACTAGTGTAGTACATATTAGTTCAGTTTTTTTTTTTTCATATGATCCCTGTAGGAATTTTCAAAAGAAAAACATTGCTTATTCTGAATAGTGAATAATTTATTACAATATTTGTTGTACCAGCTCATTAAGTGTTTTAGGGGGTACAAATGGGTATAACACATTACCAACACTGTTTCAAAGTCACAGTCTTTCCAATACAAATTCAATGTGCTTCAGGGCTGTCTGGTTAATGCTAGTTTAAATTTGGGAGCACATACGATCTCTTTTCCTCAGGATCTAACTTCAATGGGAAAATTCGATCTGTTTTAAACACCAGATGATTAGATTATCTTTTTCTTCAAGTCTAATCACTGAATCAGTACTGTATATTACTAAACGAAATAAAATATTTATTTTGCAAGATAGTAATGATGAGTTGCTTAAAAAATGTAAGATAAACTAGCTGGATTTAATCTGTTGGTTTGCCCCCAGTATATACATGCTTCACTAATTAGAACAGCATTTCATGGTGATACTAGTAACTAGCTCTAAGGGAAATTGGTAAGGAGTGTTAGTGATAAAAAAGTAGATACTGAGTTCAAATTGAATCTGAATTTGAAAAATCAAATTGAAGGTGTAGAGAGTTTTTGTTTTTATTTTTATTTTCTCCTTTTTGTTGCAGATTAATCTTAAGGATATTGGTGAAATCTATAAAATACGCATTGGACATGACAATAGCGGAAAGGATCCTGGGTGGTATCTGGAAGAAGTTAGACTTGAAAATATAGCCACACATGAGCTGCTTTGTTTAACTGTTGATTCCTGGATAGCTGAGACTGAACATGATGGAGATTTATGGAAAGAAATGCCCATTGTGAGAACTAAGAAAGCACCTTTACCAGGTATATAATTTTATTTTTTCTGATATGTGTTAATAATTAAAAGAATTAAGATAATTGAGGTGATTTATAAGAAGAGCTAGCATCCTTTCCTGTAAAAGGCCAATCAGTGGACATCTTATGCTTTGTGGGCTGTAGAGCCTCTGTCAAAACTCTCAACTCTGCCACTGTCAAGGGGCAACGGGCATGGCTGTGTCCAATAAAACTTGATTTGTGGACACTGAAATTAGAGTCTCATATGACTTTTATTTGTCAAGAAATAGTATTATGCTTTTGATTTTTTAAAAATCATTAAGAAAAATAAAAGCATTCTAACTCGCAGACTGTACAAAAACAGGTGGCCAGCAGATTTGGCCCACGGGCCATAAAGCTCCGGATCCTCATGGCCCTTCCTAGTTGTCCTGTGGTCACGTGAGGGTGGCAGTGGTGTCTAGGGATGTCCAGAAGATGCCAAAGTGGAGAAGATGGAAGAGCCCTAAGAGACTTAGAAGCCTGGTTCTGCCCTGCATATCCTAGGATCTGTCTATCCTATTCACACAGTTGCTACTCTGTTACGAAGCAATTCTACTTTTAAAAAATGATGCTTAGAAGAGTTGTGAAATCCATGGTACCAATAAGAAACAGAAGAAATCTTATTGGCCTACTACATTATTAATAGCTATTTCTCAATTTGTAGCATGGCTGCATTATTTTTAAATGAACTTTATTTAAACTCTATTAGACAACCATTTCGTATTTCTTTCAATTGCCTCTTATGTGATGTATGCACAAGTTGTTATGTGCAAAAAATGTGGAAGGCAGTTGTGTGAGTTTTTTAAAAAATCTGATACAAAAGAAACTGCACTGCATCTTAAATGAACTATTGATTTTGGGTTCATTTAACTTGAGCAGCAGTAAAGGCTCAGCATGTCTCCCCTGCATCTTTCTGTTCATTCTTTCTCCACCTAACTAATGAAACTTTAGCCATTAGCATTTCCCATTTAAAGGGGTAATTTCTTCACGGAAGCACATCAACCATTTCTTAAGGCATTTTCTCCAACAAAATAATATAATGTAATAATGATACACAGAGCTAATGTGGTCCAGTTTTCTCATTTTTCTCAGGCTCTGATAAGTCAATACAGCTGCCCCTTTCCCCCAGATTGAATATTTTCTCACTTAGGGGGAAATGACACTCCACTGTTCAGGAATTAACTAGAGACCAAAACTCACTGGTGAACAAGAAGCAGTTGGAGCGTGTTGAGTATCACATTTTGGAAAATCATTCTTGGTGCCACCCAGAGGTTCATTTACTATTCCTATGACATTATTTACTAATCCCATAGCAGATTCAAACCAATGAATTGATGCTTCTTTGGTTTGGGTTTGAGAAGAGTAAGGCAGTATTGACCTTCAATATTTTGGGATCATCTGTCAATCTGTCAAAGCATTCTGAAGCCAACCCAGAAAAGAACACAAGAAGTGATGAAGAGAAAGTTTTTATTATAATTAAGCTATTAATACTTATCTTGGAGTTGCCAGGCTAGATAGAGTCCTAAGGACACACTTGAGGGTTGTATAATTTTTAATTTAGTATCACAAAAAGAGTGATTTTCCATGCAGTTGGCACTTACATTTTGAGCTAATTAATTTTGTGACTTTGCCTCTTCCTTTCAAAAGATTACTGGAATGTTTTCAAAAGAAAAGAGTTTTTGAGTCTGTTAGTTTATAAGTCCTCGTTGTTTGGGGGCTGGGCTAGATTGCGGGTGGGATCAAAGTGATCTCCTCCCAGAGGCCAGCACTGCTAAGTTGAGCTTGTTCCACACCTTCCTCTGATTTATTCACTGACTGCCATGTTGGCAGGGAGAGGCTGAGCGCCCTTGGTTTGTTGTCCGTAAGAGTCTTTAGTTAATGGCCTGGCAGGGATGCCCAGGGCTGGTAAGAATGCCGACTCAGCTCCCAGCAGCCTCCTCACAGGTTCAGCATCTCTCCAGGAGAGATGGATGATAACGGGAGGTGAGTTTGAGGCCACATGTATGGCTGAATAAATGTTTGATGCCAGACTTTGGCAAGTGGGCAGGAGGTTTGCTTAGTGGTTTACTTCAAATCCAGAAATAACTATCTGAGAATGCATGAAAAAGTAACATCATAACTGAAAGGTGTCTACTTCAAAATATTTGCATTTATCAAACTTTAAGTAGTGAGAAAACAAGCTTGCTGATTTTTGATTTTCTGTGTCTTCTGAAATGTATTCTGATACAAGTTTTACAGCAAGTTTTAGATGATAACAACTAAGCTAAGTTGAAAAAAAAAAACAAGCTTTTTTAATGCTTTAGCTTTTATCACAATACCTGTCCATGTTCCAGGGGAAAATGTGGGCTTTGGAGGGAGAAAGGCCCCTTCATCCATGAGAGGACTGCAGCTCAGATAAGCAGAGACTGGTTTCAGATCCAGGTCTCCCTCACTGGCTTTGTGAATTGGGCAAGTGACATAGGTTTTCTGAGTCACAGTTGCTTTGTTTATGAAATGGGGCATATAATATCTTTTATCAGAATTATCACTGTATAATTCACCACCCAAACCAGGAATTTTTTGAGAGTGAAGAAGGGCTCTGGGAATAATTGTACCAGGACAGCAGGTGTCAATGGGAACCATTCCAGGCAAACCAGAGCCATGAGCATCCCATGGGGTTTCCATCAGGAGCATGTGAGAGCATGGGGATAAGGTATTTGTCACACAGAAGGCACTCGGTTCACACTAAGTTAATTCCCTTGCCCTCCTTTCTTTAAAGCATTTAGCTGCTATCATGAGAACATCGGTCTCACAGAGTGCTGTGGGATTAGTACAGGCTATTCTCAACCCTGCAGCCAGAGTGACCATCTTAAAATGCCAGTCAGATTATGTCATTCCTTTGCTTAAGACTCTAGAAAGGTTTCCTAACTTACTAAGTATAAAAGCCAGTCATAGCAATGTCCTACAAGGCCCTACTTGTGTCCTGCCCCCTCCCCCACTTCACCCTCAGTGCTCCCTGGTGGCCCAGGTGTGCTGTCCCCACGGCCTCCAGGCCCTGCCGATTCTCCCCTGTCTGCTGTTGTAGCGCCCGCCCCAGGCCTCTGCATGGCTCCTTCGCCTTTGGTCCATAGCTCCTTCGTTTGTTCCGAGGGACCTTTTCTGTGATGCCTTCCTGGCAACTTTCTGTGAAATTGCAGGAAATCCCACTCCCTTCTCCACCGTGGCCAGGACTCTTTTTCTCTCTACAGCTCACAGGTACTTCTTTTCAGAAATAAGATACATATTTTCAACCAAGAGGCACATGAGGATTCAGCCCAAACCGCCACTGTACACGGTCTTGGATCACAAACCGTCAGCACAGCCTGGAACTGAACTGTCTGCACATGTGTGACACCGAGTCTCATTTACCATCTGCTCCTGAGAGCTGATGTCTTTGGGCCATTTGTATCGTCATGATCGCGCCACAGTGAGTGCTGAGAAAGCTTAATTCTTGGAGACCTGAGAGAAAGCACTAAAACAGTTCATTAATTATATCAAAGGGAATATTCAGCCCAGGGCTTTATGTTTGGAAAGTTCAGCCAGAGGTCCCAGGTGTCTGCGCCCATCCGTGCTCGAGTCCTGCCGGTAGTACCGGTGCACGGAGGGGCCAGCTCACCCAAGGCGTTCCCGGGGCAAAGGCATATTCTGTATTATTTAATACCTACGCCCGTTTGAGCTTCACCACTAAAGCTCAGGGACTATGGAAGTCCCCCAAACACAAACAATTCCATTTTTTTTTTTCTGATTAGGAACATGTCCAGAAAACAATACCTACGTTCACTGAAAACACTGGACGCACTGTGACAAGGATGGAGCATAAATGAAGAGTTCATGGCGTTCTAGCCTCTGCTCGAACTTTGTGATTATCTGGTTATGCCACCCAAGGTAGACGGACCCTGAATTGCGTCCAGAGCTTGTTTCCCAGCCTGACAGGAAGGGATGACTTGTCTGCCAGAGAAAGGCGAGAGGCTGCTGGCCCAGAGAGCCTTCCTTCCAACCCCCTTCTCTAAATTGGAGAGCTAAACATAGCATTCGAAAGGGCCTGAGGGGGGAATGTTCCAGTTAGGGCCTTACTTAAGAGATAAGGTCCCATGAGTTTCACTGGATGGAAGGGTCTTCACCCCTAACTCAGGGCACGGAGTCCTGTGTGTGCGCGTGCATGCGCGTGTGCGTGCGCGTGTGCGTGCGTGCGTGTGTGTGCGCGCGCGTGTGCGTGCGCGTGTGCGTGCGTGCGTGCGTGTGCGTGCGCGTGTGTGCGCGCGCGCGCACAGGGCAAGTCTCTCCAGCTTGAGTCCGGCAGGTAGTTTCCCAGTGAAATCTGAACTATGTACCTTGTCAGAAGAATAGAAGTCTACAACATTATGGATATAGCTGGAAGAACGATACTTTTATTTGATAAATGGAGGATTTTTTCAGAGAAGATTGAGAAATCTCGGACGGTTTGGACTGAAGGAGAAGGAGGACGAGGAGGCATTTAAATGGGCGCTGTCAGGAGGAGCTTGTCGCACAGCGTCTGGCATGAGGGACTAACGATCCAGGTCCCTTCTTCAATCACTCCGTGCACTGGGGCATGGCGCTCCTGTGAGAGGCTGAGAGCCTGGGAAGCTAAACCGTATTGTCCATTTCACTGGCAAATGTGGACACAAGACTAGGAGACAGAGCCAAGGGGCCAGAAGCTGGGTGGACCCTGAAGTGGAATGGTGAACACAAGCAGCGTTAGGAACGAAGAGACAAGTCCCAGCGACCACTGCAGAGAAGCCGCTTTGGGGCTGGGTTGCACAGTGCCTGGGAAGGCAGGCCTGGTTAAAGGCACCGTTCTGGGCGAAGAGCTGCTACAGCACTGGTTCAGACTTGAGGAGTTACTGGAGCGGCCAGCAGAGAGAGCACAGCACGTGTTGCTGGCTGGATGGACAAGCATCCGTTTATTCAGTAGATACTACAGTGCTAGGAGCTAAGGGTTCCAACCTGAGAAA